AAATCTACCATTACAGCAGCACAGGAACAGAGCATAGAGGAACAGGACAGAGACACAGAAAAGACACACAGAATTACAAATAAAGCACTAGTTAAATAAATAATGTTATATGGCGTCTGTGTCAGCTTTAACCCTCGGGAAGATTGGTGAAGCTACATTTACATGCCCCGGAAATGAGAAATAAAAGCTCTGTGTTAACATTCATTTGACCCCGTAATGAGTCTTGCTTGTATAACACAGGAGGCTCAGCAGACCGACATGGAAACGCTCTGTGGTGGCAAAGAGACATTATGGTAATCGCCCCAGCCACTGTGTGACTGCGTTTTAAAGTTTCCACTACTGAGCTGTAAACATGATATTGTAATCTCCCTTTGTGTCAGGCCTTAAATAAACCGTACGGACACGTGCAAATGCTGCGAGATTTATTGAACAAGACTAGCAGATATGGACACACGCGAATAATGAAAGTACAAACAGCCAGAGAGACAAACACTTCACAATCCCCCCAAAAAAAAAAATCCTCTCAGCAAGCGGAGTGGCATTCACACAGCTATGCACGCACACACACACACACACACACACACAGGTGTGAGGTCAGGCTGTTTCATGTTATTGTTAGACTTTCAGGTTGAGCCTTTTTATGAGCAGAGCAAATTGTCTTGGTGTGTGCCAGGACCTCCAGCACCTCCCCTGCCCAGAGGGTTGGCCCTCCCCCCCCCCCCCCCCACCCCCCCCCCCCCCCCCCCCCCCCCCCCACGGCTGCAGATTCCCAGCTCTGTTTAGTCCAGGATAAAACCGTTTGGCATTTCAGTAAACTGAATTCTGTCAGGGGCCGAGAGGATCATCACAAGCATCTGAACAGAAGCAGGACTCATGTTTTATTTAGTGGCTGCTGGTTTGTCCGTCTCCTCGTACCCGTGGCCTTTTCTTTCATCGTGGATAGTCGTATGAGACCAATTCATAGACATGACTGATTATGAATCACGCTCATATTCAGTTAGAACCCATGTAGCAAGCAAGGAGTTAATAAGAGAAAAGACATTTAGCTTTGGAAACATTTCTTGAGGCTTCTGAACCTGCTTTTGCTCCATCATTGAAGTAATTTGCTTATAGATGTGCATTCATACACACAGACACAGTGTGGTAAATTCAGGCTGAGTAAACATAACCAGAGTGATCGCTCTTGTCCTTTTCATAGGCAAACACGTCTGAGAACCACCTAATACACATTTGGTGCTTAGTAAATGTGTCAGTCGCGGTCCCCTAGTAATCAAACTGATCAAGAATCGACAGGGCAGTAAATAATTGAACAAATTCAAATGTCAACCCTTTTATTGGTCATAAAGTTTTTAATGCTGGACAGAAGTGGAACGTGCTTCCAGGCATCATTAGCATGAAAAAGAAATGCATTGAAATACATTCTTTACATTTTCCAGGTCTGTGTTTGGTCATCTTGCACCGCATTGAATTTCATTATGAAGCAGATGAGCGATAGTATACAAAAGCATTGCCTTTGGTAGTGTTTCCTATACTGTGATGATCCGTCCGACATGTGCTGACATTTTTCCGTTGACAATGCCACAACTGTGTGTGATTAAAGGTTTCACGAAATGAGGATGTGAGGAAGGGGATGAATGTGGGAGGAAGAAGGTTCGCTTATTCTTCTTTATACATCTCATCCCTTTTTGTTAATTTTCTACTGTATTTGGGCAGAGTTGACGTATAGGAGACATGACTGCAATAAGTTCAACCTATTGACTGTTTTCCAGGTTAAGGGACTAGGGCGCTGTCACAAACACCTCACATGTTACGCCCTCTACATGTGGCTTGTTGCTGACAGATGAGGAAAAGTGACTGGTGGCAGTTGTCTCCACTCTCCGCAACAGAGCTAGAAGTGAAAGTTTCAGCAAAGTTGAATAAGTAGCATTTTACAGTGATGCATTTTTATAAGTTTAGCTATAGTGTTAGATGTTAAAAAAGTGGGCTTGGTTTCAGCTGAGGAAGCTAGCAAACTCGTGCTGGTATAGTATCGGAACATAGCAGCACCCATGTCAGAAATTTCCAAGCCCCTGTTATCAATGATCTTGCATAGATGCATAGATTACTGATTGATTACTGGTATTTCTGACCAGTAATCTAGTGGAAGCTGTCCTTCTATAACAGCTCTCCCTCAGATGTTTACACTGAACTGCATCACTGAGGTTAGAGCCTATTATTCAGGCCTGTCGCTCAGCAAGTGAAGAATCCACAGAGGAACCTGGAAGTCCACAGAGGATTTTTACAAGCTGTGACAGTATTGGTATTGGCTGGTATTGTTTTCACTTTGTGAGTCTGTGTGTGTGTGTGTGTGTGTGTGTGTTGGGGGTGGGGGTCACAACCTGCAGGATACGGTCAGGAAACTTCTCAGGTTTGTTGTTGACATCAGACTGAAGGCTGGTTTTTGAAGATGGGTGCGGTCCGACCCATGAGTACTGAGTATTCACGGTTAGGAACATCTACATGTCGACGCTGTGATCCCATCATAACAGGAAGATTATTGAGTGACGTTGGAAATAGACTCAGTGAGGTTCTGCATCAGAGGCTGAACCCGCTCGGTTTGGACAACCTTAATTATTTGGCGCTGACTGAATGTCTGGCTCCTTTGTCTGGAGAGATTTCCAACAGGAAATCACGGATGAGGGGACACAAAGAAAACACATTTTGTATCTATCTGTGTGCTTTTGTTAGAGAAACTGTGAAAGCATGGAAATTAGTACTTAATTAAGTTTTGCCGTTCAAACAAATTCAGTATTAATCAAATGCAATTTTTCAGAGGAAAGGAAAAAAAAAATCAGTCTGTATCAGAAAAATACAAAAAGATAACTTGAAACTGTCTGAATAACTTGTTTTTACACTTTTAAAGGAGAAAATGGATTATTGATTAACAGCTGCAATTTCTCCAGTTCCACTAGTGAAGGATATTGATTTTGTTAGAAATGAGTCATAAAATTCTTTACATGGTTCCCCAGCTTTTGCCTCTGAAATGTGCTTCATCGGTTGCTAATTGGCCCATGTGATTAAGTTTTTGCATTTATGCTGTTTGTCTCATTGTGATGCATCTCGTGACTCAGTCCTGTAACACACTCACACACTGTGCCGTTAACCCTGGTGATGTTCAGGGAAACCGTCTCCATGCAACAGGGGGAATTCAGAGCTCCTCCCGGGGCAGGGTTGAGGCTTCGCGGCCTTCCCTCTTGTCCTGCGGCTCGGTCGCTGTCTGCTCAGGGGAACAGAGCTGCGAGTGCCTCAGAGCTCTGCAGGGACGAAGCTGAAGAGGGGTTGTCATGGTAGAAAGCTGCACATTATGTGGGGGCCAAATAGAGATATGAAGAGACAGGTATTGTATCTTTACGTGTGCAGCATCTCAGTTTTTGCTGTTTTGAAGATAAACTGCAAGCAGCCAGTTTTTATTCTACCAACTCACTAAACTCCATAAAACGGCCCAGGTCTTATTTATTTTGTTTATGTCTACTGTGAATTAGTGCCCCCCTCGGACATTGCATGCTTTATTTGTTTTTTTCTAATCATAGACCCAAACACTATAAAGCTGACTGATATGTGAGAGGCCCCCGCAGGGAGAAAAAATGGCTAAGTGCATGCAAGGCACAGGTACATATTTATCCAGCTGGAAGATTAGAAAGGTTGGAGAGGCATTACAATTTGTCCAGGCTTTAGTAAACAATAAAGACAGATCGGGTATGAGTAAGCACACAATGTTAACACAAACACAGACAGGCACAGCCATTGTGCTGGATCAAGTGAGCGCTATGCAGCCTCATCATTCGGTTTACCTCCCATCAACTATGAAAGTGGTTCAACGTCAATCGCAATTTTGTTTGGATTTGTATTATCAAAAAATGATTTGTATTATTATGATATTGTATTTGCATTAATGGCAACACTGACAGCAAAAGAGATGTTCGCTGAAACGTGTGTGATAAAGCTGACACCATGGCAGGTGAATATACTGTTAGTCTTTCATGACTCAGCTCATTGTCCAAGACTCTCTCCCTCCATATCCCCTGCTCTTTTCACTCCCCTCTCCTCCTCTCGCAGTCAGGCTCTGGCTTTGTGTCACGTGCTGTAGCCAGATTAACCAAAATCCTCCTTCCTGATATATTTGAAAGACCACTGGCACAGCGGCCTCATGGCTGGTTTAGCTCACGCCTTCAGTTCACACTGTTTTGGCGCCATGTGAGCGCCCCCTGGTGTCTGTGACTGGCAGGGCTCATGATAATGGAAGCACGTTCTCTCTCAGTATGATTCAGTCTGTGTGTTCATGAGAGTAATTGGTTTGAAATTGGTCTGTATTTTTCTGGGAACATTGTCCTGGCTCTCCTGTGGACTTGTGATTTTATGACTTTAACAATTCATGTTTGCGTTGGTTTCAGGGAACAAACTTTTTTTTTTTTACTGTGGTGCCTTTTTGCATCTTTATATTTAGTTTTTCAAAACCAAACAGCAGCAGCTAAAAGTCGAGCTTGATATGACCTTTAATTGCTGAACTGAAAGGATGCTGCCATCCATCCTCGTATCCTTTCACGTGCTTAGCTTCGCAAACAGCGATCCATCACAACAAACTTAGATTCTTTCTTTGATGTTGTCAAAGTCCGTGTCTTACCATGTTTATTTGTGCCTGCGTTAAGTGGTCTCATATCAGTGTGTTCATTATTTCAGTCTTTGCTTACTGTCAATCACCTGACACTCACTGCCACCGCCGCTCGCTTTACAGACTTGATTGGCACCCGTGTCTTTTTATTGGTGATACTGTAAAGTGTGCAGATAAAATCATTTCTATAATGTAATCCACATCCTGCAGACAAGGGCTTTTAAAGGGAGCTCTTGCATCACACATGACTTGAAAGTATGATTAACTCAGTCTTGATTACTTATTAGCTGTGGGAAGATACAACATGGTGCTGATTGTCAGTGACTAACTGTTTTCACCTTGTCTCGTCCAGGGTGTTGCATTCGCCTCCCTTTTCTTCATCCTGGTGTCCATCACCACCTTCTGCCTGGAGACCCATGAAGCCTTCAATGAACTGCAGAACCGGACGGAGCAGGTTGTCGTGGGCAACGTCACACACCAAGTGCAGAGGAGGGAGATGGTGACCAAGCCCATCCTCACCCTGGTGGAGGGCATCTGTGTGATCTGGTTCACATTTGAATTCCTGGTGCGCATCATCTGCTGCCCAGACAAGGTGGTCTTCATCAAGAACACGCTCAACATCATTGACTTTGTGGCCATTCTGCCGTTCTACCTGGAGATGGGTCTGAGCGGTCTGTCATCCAAAGCTGCCAACGACGTGCTTGGCTTCCTCCGAGTGGTGCGGTTTGTTCGGATCCTCCGGATCTTCAAGCTGACGCGGCACTTTGTCGGCCTGCGCGTGTTGGGCCACACGCTGAAGGCCAGTGTCAATGAATTCCTCCTGCTCATCATCTTCTTGGCGCTGGGTGTACTCATCTTCGCCACCATGATTTACTACGCTGAGCGAATCGGAGCGAGGCCCGACGACCCCACAGGCTCCAACCACACACACTTCAAGAACATCCCCATCAGCTTCTGGTGGGCAGTGGTCACCATGACGACACTGGGCTATGGAGACATGTACCCACAGACGTGGCTGGGCATGATGGTGGGGGCGCTGTGCGCGCTGGCTGGGGTGCTGACCATCGCCATGCCGGTCCCCGTCATCGTCAATAACTTTGGGATGTACTACTCGCTGGCTATGGCCAAACAGAAGCTGCCCAAAAAGAAGAAGAAGCACAACCCGAACCCAGACGCCCCGACTGACTCTGCCTCGTTTGGGAAGTCAGAAACAAACTCACACAGAGACAGCACGCAGAGCGACACGTGTCCGCTGGCTGCTGAAGAGAGTGTCAGCAGGAACCGTTCAGGTCAGGCCGCTATGCAACAATAAAGGTTCAGTTCTCTCAAATTACAGAAAAAACATTTCCTCACTTACCTTTTGTGATGTGTGGCCCTGTGGAGAGTTTTGTGTTTTATTTTTCACTCAACTCTTTGAAAAATTACTGAAACATTGTCATAGTTAATCAACAGACCTCACTTTCCACCACATATATATTAATATTATATATATATATATATTACCTGTTTTCTGTGGGTAATCCAGAGTAATGGGGACGCTGTTGCTGGAAAGAGATGTTTGAACCTTTAGGTTAGTTAGTTTTCCTGTGCTGTGAACAGCACAAACACATTTCTGTTCACCTCCAGTACTGAGTGACACTGCTATATATGCCACTAGAGGTGAGTGACAGAATGTTTTTTTTTTTTTTTTGTAATTTGGGTGGACTCACTCTTTAAGCCAATCCTATTGTTTACAGATTATTTTATTCAACCTGTTCACTTAAGCAGATCATTCATCTTCTAGAGCCCACATTATAGATATTTGAGTTGTCCTGTGCCTAATAGTAACATAAATGGCCACTGTTTTTCCAGTCTTACGGTTCCTGAGGCTTTTCAGCGTTTGCCTGACAGATGAACCGCGCTTAGTCATAAAGACAGTGACACACCAAGATCAAATTATACCTTATAACATCTCAGTCAAATTGGATTTCATCACAGAAAAATACCATTTTTATGCAATATACCTCTGCCTTTGTCTTGGCCCTCAGGGGAGGTCTCAGTAAAAGCTTTGGCATTTACGTTGCCGTGTGTTTTTGTCGTCCTGTCAGATTCCAAACAGAATGGAGATGCAAATGTGGCCCTTTCAGAGGAGGAAGGCTGCAGCCTGACCCAGCCGCTGTCCCCCAGTGAAAAGTGGTCCCTGCGGTGCACCCGAGGGCGAGACAAGGCTAAGAAAGAGGCCACCTGCTTCCTCCTAACCTCTGGAGACCCCAGTGTCCATACTGGTAGGTTACATAGATGTCGGTATGCACCTGAATATTCACGTTTACTGTTTGATTCACATTGTACTGTACAATGCTCGCTGCATTGTAGCTGTTCTCAAGTTTCGTTTCACCTCAGAGAGAAAATTTCAAAGTTGTTTCTGCAGGTCAACAACTATTTTTGTGTTTCCTCGTCTGGTGTAACAACAAATTCAAGAAAATTCTATTAGTCAAGACCAGGATTCGGCCACATGCAACTAGTTTCTATCTTAGCTCACATGTACACTTATTTGCTTATTTGCTGAGCGTTAGGCAACAAAATCGATACCACTCTCACTTCTGTATGCTAAAACTACAACCAGAGAGTGACCTGATAGCTGAATAGTGAGGCTGCGTACCACATGGGATCAAACGCCTTGAGCAGCGAGTCCCCAGTTTGACTCCTGGCCAGCCGGACAATTTGCTGCATGTCATTCCCCTACTCTCCCTGCATTTCCTGTCTGTCTCCACTGCCACTGTCTAATAAAGGCTTGATGAATGGATGGATAAAAATTGGAGAGAGAATTTTGCTATTCTTAGATCTCCACCAGCAGAAAGGGCAAAGAATTAAGATTTGGCCTCAGGGTTGCGACAGAGGAAGGAACATGTTAGCTGTTTGAGAAGCGTGTTAACAAAATGTTCTGTTTTCGTTTTAGAGGCACTGTACAATACGATACAATTACATCTTGCATTATCAACTTACATACTCAACTTCAACAGCTATTCATTTAACAAACACTAAAGCTTCGGTCGAAAAGTCTCTAATCTTAGGAAGGTTTCTAACTGAGTGAAATGACCTGAAGTGTTTCAGCAGCAGCCAAGATAAGAGCTGGTTGAATTCTCTAAATGAAAAGGAAAGGAGCTTCGATGCTTCCTATCTTCTTTAGCATAGGAAACACTGGACCTTCCTTTAGGAAAGGAAAGGAGACAGTGCCGTCCCACAATTCCTCGTGGCAGTGACATTTAAAGCGAGTAGTTTCACCTCGGCAGACCCACATAAATGTAGAAACTTCGGAGCAGCTGTTTTATGTTTGTGACTCGATCCAAAACTCATAAAAATGAAAATCTGATCAACTGAAGCCCAAATCCATGAATACAGATTTCTTCTCTTTCAAATCTCACAAGTTAGGAATCATCTTTAAGAACAAGCATATTGAATTTCTAGTTAACAATATCATCAAAATAACTTACTATAGCGTATACATAAATGTAATTTAACTAAATCCCCTCCCATTGTGGAATGCACTAAAAATTTATTTTCTCTACAAAACAATTGTATAGAAATGTCAAAAGCGCCTATGCCAGGAAAATATGTCTGAATATGATTTATTCTGATTTCTTGCTTGGTTCCTTTCTTCTATTTTATTATTATTTTAATGGCTCAGCTTTCTCTGTTTGCATTTTTCTTTCATGTTATCTTATTTCAACATTTCAATCCTGTTTGCTTTGTTTTTGTAGTTGGGAAAGGAGGATTTATCGTCCATGTGTTATGGATAAAGTTTGTAAAAGGAAAAGAAAAAAAGCTGAGTGTAAAATGATCAATTCTCCACGTTTTTCCTTGACTTCATGACGTTTTCCATTGAGGTCATGGAAAAGTTGTTAGGAAAGGAGATCATTGTGACTTTTTGACTGCAGCCTAAGAGTCTAAAGCCTGCGAGACTGTGTTAGCTTTGAGCTAAATGCTAACGTCAGCATGCTAGCACAACAACATGCTGATGTTTAGCTGGTAAAAGGTTTACCATGTTCATTAGTTTTGTTGGTACTGGACAAATGATAAATTCTGACCTGATGATGGCACAAGTTTTGGAGTATTTGGATTTATCCTGAATGTCTGCACAAAATAGTATGGCAGTCCATGGAATAAGCATTGAAGCATTGAAACCATTGACAATGAAGCCATGCCACAAGAATGGCTAAAGCTTGGTGTAATTATCCATAGACCCACCACAACAAGCTTCCTGTTGGCTGCTGAAAAGGAGAGAAAACTCCTTGGTACTTAAGGCACTTCCGTCCTAAACTTGTGTAATTTTTCTCGCAGCCTCCAAATGACTAAAGGCAGTTTTTCGTCATTATTCACCAGACAGATCAAAAGGAAATCAATGGAAGAGCTTTGTAGCACTAATTGCATCATCCATCTGTCTGTGTGCACTCAGTGAAGGAGCTTTTCTTGAATAACCATCCTCATGGAGCGCTGCTAGGTTAGGGTTAGTCGGTACCAAACAACCTGTTGTGTCTAAATATGTAAACAAAAGCCTCTTATACTCAAGAATATAAGAAGTTCAGTCAGAGACGTTTAAGTCAAAGAAACGACCATTTAAACCAAATTGTTCTGTAATTAGATCTGTCAGAGACGGCTCTGCTGTTTGAGGGAACGCTCAATGAATCCAAGCAGCGATGCGGATTTTGCTGAGATCGTCCTCCACACACGACGCACGCATGACTCGTGGTCAAATCAACAACATGACGTACCACAGAAGGAGACGGTTGGGATGGTGGTGATGGTTGGCATGAGCATAACAATGAGGAAGTGTCAGGTTATAATGTCCGTGACGCACAGCTGAATGAATATGATTGCATGTTGCCAGCTACACAGCTGTGAATCAGCCAGTGTTTGTAAAGAATATAAAGCAAAGGGCCAGAGCTAATCGGCCAATACAAGCGTGACTTCAGTGCCCTGCCTGGACCAACACTGTGATTCATCTCAGGGTTCAAGTGCAAGCATTTGTATTGTAAACCTGATTCACTCAGTCATCTTGTGATTGCATCGATACACCTTTAACAACAGACTGTCTCGGTGAGTACTACATTTAGCGGCGCATTTTTGTGGATACTTTAAACAGCTGTCCGGAACAGGTAACATGGGCGCAAAGACGAAGGCGATGTTCCTTTAATTCTCTCAGTTGGCATCCGCTGCAGACTGCCATCTCTCCCTGCTTGAATGGCTGTTGGATCTCACATCTGAGCTTCCCAAAGTACCCAAAAGCCCCTTGTGAAAAGAGGCTCTATATTTGGCAGCCGTGGATTCATTCCTGACATCCTGAGCACACATCCCACCCAGTCAACATCCTGACTCTCGTCTGCAAACAGCCCAACGACACTGAAGGTGTTTTCCTGCAAAGCTGCACTTTACCGAGATGCATTTTTTCTTGCGAAGCTCATTAGCACATCACTGTTGAAGAAAAATCAACACTTAAATGGGGCACTTACTGTAGCCCGGCTCCTTTGAGAGGATATACCCTTGCTTTTCTTTTTTCTTCGACAGTCCATTACAAGGAAATTGTATTTAAATGTGTTTCCTGAAAGCCTCGTCAATCGCTGCATGTGTTGAACGTTGTAGACTGGTGTAGGTTAATGGCATGTTGTCACACGCTGATGGAAAAACAAAATCACACAACCTCAGTTATATCTGCCAGATGAATGAAAAGACGGGGCGGTTATGGACATGCAGTTTTGCTCAGGGGAGGAAATCAGCTGTCGATGTAAAATTTACAGCCTCACAGCCACAGTGGGAAAGACATACGCATAGAGAAACACAAACCGACTCCAGCTGGCTTTCACGCTGAGGTCTCTAATAATACACTAAATGCTCTGGTCAGCTCATGAGACCGCCATGCGAGCTTTCTCCTGATCGCAGAGACAAAAACAATGGAAAGCTGAGCAAAGCCAGAACACCTCAAAACTAATCTTTGGAAGAGAGAGGAGGGGGTAATTTAATCTTGAGCTCTGTATCTGGTGAGTATGTGGATAATGACATCCCAGTCTATTACAGGAGAATATCACACATACACAACACATTTTAGTGCACATTACCTGCAAAAAGGGTTCAAGTGGACTTTTCACTGTTTCCTAACAATGTTAAAAACTGTTGCGGCAGAATTCAAATTTGTTTTTGCCTGACAAGCAAAAGGCTGCCTTTGTATTTGCAGCCATTTTGAGTTGGATGGAGATAGATTAGGGCAGCGAGGTTCTGCTCTTCAGAGCTATGCCCATAGGGGATGGAGTTAGGTTAATTCCCGGGTTACAGGATATAAGGTATGAATAATATTTCACCAGAGCAGTATGGCAGGAAACAGAGAAAAGGACAAATGGCTGCAGCAGGTCTGAAGATGCTCAGATGGTTATCAGTGACAGGAAATGGTCGCCCGACCTGAAGTGGGAACAAAATGCTGGTGGATTTGAGGTGATTAAGGTCGTCACAGGGAGTCTGTGACAGTGTTAGCACTTACTGTCACAATTTATACATACAAAAGCAAACACTGTCCCGCTCCAAAGCACTTCGCTGTAAGCTCATTGTCTCTGTGATGTGACAACTGCCAGCTCGGTTTCCTCGTGACGAGTGCGTGACGGTGTGGCGAACCGCTCGAGTGCTGCGAAAAGGAGGCAGCAAGCGGATATACAGGCGCGCAGAGAAAAGGCTGCTGAGCCCTCCCTGTTCCTGGATGATTGCCACCACGAGGTTTCCATTGACAAGATGGGTGGTCAAAGTGAAGTGTCCCGCTGGCATCTGAAGTTTAGATCTGTAGGTCTGTGAGGGAGAGCTAGAATATTAGTCAGTTATTTTATTGGTTAATCAACAGAAAATTAGCAACAACAATTTTAAGAATTGATTGATTGATTAATTATTCAGTAGAAGTCATTTATCAAGTGAAAATGTCCAACATGAACTGAGCTCTGCTCCTCAAAATGTGACGTTTTTCAGTTTTTCTTTGTTTTATGTGAGTGTAAATTAAATATCTTATGGAATGTGATGGAAATCTGAAAATCAAACGTTGTCAAAATGACCAAGTTGTCTTTGTATATTTTAATAAGAGCTTTGTTAAGGATCAGCCTACAGTCACAACAGAGTGGAACTGCAGAGTGATGTCGAACAAAGAGTGTACATGAACTTTATAGAGAAAGGAAAGAAGGAGGCAGGGTCAGGATGTGTGTGTGTGTGTGTGTGTGTGTGAACAATTGTGGGTGCCATCAAAACTGTCTAGCTGCAGCTGCGTGCTCAAGGACAAACTAGTTCTTAGTTTGTACCAGACAGCAGCAGATAAGGAGCATACATGTGAGGACAGAGTCATGTCCTAGGTTATACAACGCCAGGTCAAACAAAGTACAAAACCAGGTTATACAAAGTGAAAATGTGATTTTTCTATTATAGGAACATGTGATGGGCATTTTTATTATCTTATGATATTTAAAGATTTAAAAAAAAATGTATCAATCAAAAAACAAAGAAAGCCTTGACTAATGATAGAAACATTCTTTGACTTCGGTTCATCGCCTGAACAGGCCGGGGTTTGTTCAGAGATGTTCCAGGTCTGTTTTCTACAGACCTTTCATGCTCCTGTTATGAGCCACTGTGTTTCATTCTGCTGCTGTTCTTTGTGTTTCTTAACAGACAGCTGTAAAGACATCCTCGCTGCCACTGGAAACTACGCTCAGCCGGAGGTCACCACTCTGACCTGATGCTGATTGGCTATGAAAAGGAGAAAGAGCATGAAGTCGCAGTGGAGAACATGCTGTGCAGAGCTTCACCTCTGGTCCCTGCTTTCTTTTCCTTCCTGAATGAAGTGCAGAGCGGATTC